GAGCAGCCGTGAGCTACACTTGCCTGATAGGGTCATGCGGCAATTTGGGTGTCGTCAGTCCATCCCCCAAAATCCAATCATTACGGGTGAGCAAGACTGGGCCAGACACCACGCCGGCCAAGGAATGACTGGGCGGGCATTCGGTGATTGGGCCCTCTTTCATTCACCGCTTACGAAGGCATGGGCCGATGAAAGAGAACTACATCTCATCCCAATTGCCCCTGCGTATGATTTCCTGCAGCCAGAGCAGGGTTACCTCGATTGGTTTCACAGTAGGACTGTGAGACTCATCAGTAACCCTGGCAATTACGCTGTGTTCCAACAGGCCGGCGGCTATCAGCCATTTGCCGAGCGGTTAGGGTGCGAGGTAAGTGTTCATAATAATTTGTGGTTTTATTATTATTATTATTTTTTTTTTTATGTTATTTCATACTTTTTTTTTTATTTATGTTGTTTCATACTAATTACTTTGAATTTTATTTTCAGACTTCTGGCCTGGAGGGGGTTTATAACTCCTTAACGAGTATTCAACACTTAATGCCTACATTCCCTCCAGAGGCACAAGCCGCATTTCAACAGTTCTTCAACTTTGCATACACTTCCCTGACTGTTGGAGGCTGAGGTCTTACACAAGGGGCGTCGTCAAGTCAAGTTCTATCCCAAGACGACTACATTCCATCCCAGAGGACACAGTCCCACACCGCAAGGCATCGACCCGCTGCCAACATTGGTGGGGGTAGAAGACCTCGGCCCCGTGACCGCGAAAATGAACAACGCCCAACCAATCCACCCTCCCCCCAGCACCTCCAATCTCAGAACCTCGGCCTTGAAGAATGTAAGATTTATTTACTTAACAAAATATTATTTTTTGGTCTTTTTTTATTTTTTATTTTTTCCTAAAGTCGAGTTTGTGATTTTTTTTTACTAAATGCATTACTCAGTTGAAGAGGACGAAGGAGAAGAGAATGAGAACGATTTTGATGATGACACGCCTCTCGCAGAGCTCCGGAGGGGGGCTCGACTGCGCAAACCTAGGCAACCATTCACTCCTTCATCTTCATAGTTAGTTTGTGTTTTATGTATTGAAATTTGTGGACATATTCGTGTGTAAACCGTATTTTGATCTTTTTGTATATAGTGTTTCTTCTATAAATTATTGTTTTTGATCTTCTTTTATATGTTGGGTTGATTGATATGTGTATGTTGGTTGAACAGGTTGGTTTCTTCAAATGGATTCAAAAATTTTGTTTTTTCTGCAGCTTAAAACGGATTCTGGGAATACGTTTTATATTTTTTGTTTATAAAACGTATTTTGAGAATACGTTTATATATGAATCAATTTAGGGCAAAATTGAATTGGGGTAAAATTGAATTTGGGGGAAGAATTGTACAAAAAACGTATTTCGGAAATACGTTTTCTGTTTTAAATTATTTTGTCCAACAAAATTGTATTTTCAAAATTCTAAAAATTCATTTCATTTAAAACACGTATTGTGAAAATACGTTTTATAATTCGAAAATAATTATAAAATTAATTTTAATTACAAAACGTATTTCGGAAATACGTATTAATTTTTTATAAATAAAAACGTATTCGCGGTATACGTTTTTAAGCAAGGTAATTATCTTAATTACGTTACATAATCATATTAACTGAAACCGTATTTCAGGAATACGGTTTATAATGTAAAACGTATGTTCGAAATACGTTTAATGATTAAAAACGTATTTTCGGAATACGTGTGTTTGATTTATTTCCACCCGTTTTTTTTTTATTTTATTTTTGTCCAGTTATTTTTGTTTATTTTTAAATAAATAAATAATTCGAGTCTCAAGGCGTGACACTTTGGATCATGATTATTTTGATTATACTTTTTTTTAACATATTCAAAAGTTCCAATGATCGCTTCATCACCTTTGTTCTTNTTTTTTTTGTTTTTTTCTTTTTTAATTATATTTTTTGTCCCCTGTTTCAGTTTGTAGCTAGTTGCAAAACATATCTCCAAAAAGTTCACCTAAAAAATTCTCAAATTATCATTTAAAATTGCATTGCAGAGAAAAAGTTTAGGAATTAAGTTTAAATATGTAGCAAAATTGCGCAGAAGTTTTAGCACTGTACCAAAACAAGAAAAAGTGAAAAACTAGCAAGTTTCAAGAGTCAATTGAGCAAGAAGAACAAATCATCCTCATAGATCTTGTGAAGTATCCTTTTGAAAAATATCATAAACCAGATCTTAGTACAAATCTAACTTAACTGTAAAGCAAGTCAAATTGTCAAACCTAATATTTTGCAGTTTCATATGTCCTAAGAATTTAGTCATTTATCATCAACTTTATATAAGATTTTTCCTATGGATGCAAAGTGACACTTTTGAACTTCTTCATCTGAAAAATTACAACTATACTTTCAATGACAAATTACAGTACTTGAAGAATGAGATAAGGTTAAATTATGGCAAATCTCTATATATTTTGTTTTTATGAAAATATTTTTGGTTATAAGAGATTAAGAGTAGAGGAACATTATTATTATTATTATTATTATTATTATTATTATTTTTATTTTTTTATTTTTTTTTGCAATAGACCCGCTTCTTAATAAACAACTGGTATTTTGTCAAATAAATAAATAAACAACTGTTATGCATCTTCTTATCAACCATCGACCCGATATAATTATAGACATATTTCCTGACAAAGAGATTTTACCAGAGTTACCATAAATTCTGAATAACAATATCAAATCAATAAGATGTTTAGTTTCTTCAAATAAAACGTTAATATTAACTTAAAAACTTAAACCATGAAATTGGTAGTTAAGATTTTCATTTTCATCTTATTAAGAAATTAAACTGTAAGATAATATGGTCACCTAAAATTTATTTTTCATATTGTATAACATATTATTTACATATAATTATATGTACTATTGGATTTACTCTTTTGATGATATCGTCAATATTCAATCGATAATACCTCATACAAATAACTACGACGTTACAAATATAAAATTTTAAAGAGAAAATTACCTGCACATTAGACTATTCTCTTTTTATTACACAATTACGCCCTTCATATAATTATTAGCAAAATAGCTAGAATTATTATATTTATTTACACATATGTCAGAAAATTTTTAAAAAATAAATTAGCTTAATTAATCACTAATTAGCGTGAATTGAAGAAACTAACAGTTTTTTCTAAAAACTCATTCATATTTGTCCGTTAATAAAATCTCTCTCTCATGCCTTATTCCTATTTTATAAATACTGTATAGCGTATTGCACAACCTACGTGGGCCCATAATTTCGGGTTTAGGTGAGCATCTGTAATTGATGTGTTGGGCCTCCAATGAAAAGGCCGCCATCTTTGTCCAGTGGAAAACATCTGAGCCTTTTACCCAATATTAACGATAAAATGCTTCATAAATTGAATTAATGAAGTATATTTCAACATAGGGTTTTCACTTGCACAATGCCACATTTACAACGTAGACTTTGGCATAATTATATTATTTCACATTTCATACCACTTTAAAATCAACAATTACTCCATTTACACATTATATTTTTTGTCACCTAATTATATCACTCTATCATGTCAAAATTAGCCTTTTCCTTTCAATTTTCCTAGTGCATTTTCTTTTATGGTCTGCAAATTAACATATGTGCCTGTCTGTACTTGTTAGGGCTGAAACAGATAGATTAATCACAAAATCCCAACTTTTTTTCATTCTCTCTCATACAAACACATAGACAAACTCTCCTTTTCAGTTATATATCTTTCAAAGGATTTGACTCCACTGAACCTTTCCCACTAATAACATGTGCATGGTGTGATGGGGGGTGGGTGGCCACTTTAGGTGAATGTCATCATTCATCAATCTTTGTGGCCCACTTATAAGAAGTTAAAATGAAAATAGAAAGAAAAAAAAAAAAGGAAGAACATGAGAGAGAGAGAGAATGTATAAACTATAAATCAATGTGAAATCTCAAGTTGATTGAGATGGGGGCACCCCTTTATTGGACATGCATCATGACCATTGTATCATGCATTGTCTCTCTTGTCTTTGGTTATATGGTCCCCCATCTATATGCTTAGACATGCCCATATTGTTAGGATCAACAACTCAAAACCCAATTCTCCATCAAGCCCAATATACAAGCCCAAATGAAGTTCCATTCTAAAACCAATTGACAATATAGAAGGAGTAACCCACCCAACTTATATATTGAACTTAGAACCTTTAATTTTCCGATGTGGGATTAAGTTTGCACACCCTACATATATGACATATACACATATGAATCTTTACATATATAATTATGTACATGCGTATACATGTGCATGTGCATGTGTATGTATAAAAACTTTCATATTATAATATTTTGTATAATCATACTAGAGCTTGATTGTATCTTAGCCTGATTGATCTAAGAATAGAGATTATTTAGCTACATTCGTGCTATTTTAATAAAATTTGGGTTCTATGTGTTGGTCTGATGTTCTACAAATCGCGATAGGAACTATGTGGCATCCGAATGCCACAATTATTTTTAGGCGGTCATCCTAGGCGCTCGACCGACTAAACGACACCAGTCGGCTACAGGTTTGTCACGCCCGGACTATTATACATAAAATGTACATTAATTATAAAATAACAAATATAATTATGTATGAAAATAAATGTAAATAACTTTTTTATAATATTTTTGCAATCACCTGTGTCTTAATCTGCCGTGCTTCTAGCAACTACTATAATCTTAATCATATCCTAACGTTGGTTTGAAATGCGTACATGACTTAATTATATAAGCCCAGTTGTAAAACTCAATTCGGCCCGTAGATTTATGCTTTTGATGGCCTTCATATGGCCCAATTTTCTACTTCAAATCAAAGTAGCAGCTTTCTAAACGGATAAAAGGGCCATCCAGGTTCATAATATTCAATGAGCCCAAATGAGGAAATTTAAGTACAACAAAGAATTCAGTACACAGTACCACAACACTAAATAAAGTGCAACTGTTTTTTGTCGTCAAAACTATAAGTGCAACTGCCAAGAATTCGTATGAAACTTTTTCTATAATGATGTGAATTAACCTTTTTTACCATGGCATTTGCAACTATACCAACGGATATGTACGTACATAACAACTAAGTAAAAAGTTGGAATTAACTGATAGTGATGCTTGTGTTCTTTGGAATAAACCTGTCAGAACCAAGATTTTCCTTCCTAACCTGGGAATGAACCTATTACTGTTGGTCCCTTGGTGTAAATTAATTAGCTATCTGCAAAAGGACAACAATGCAAAAGATTTGCTTGAATATCAATTGAATATAAGTGAAAATCAACAGGAACCAGCTTTTCGACTCTGCATATACATATGGACTTCACTAATGTTCAACTCCACGTTTTCTAGAGTTTTTCCTTTTTTTTTTTTTGTTGCCCGTTTAAGTGTTCAGGACTAAAGTTGTTCTGTAGCAGTCTTACCGTGTAAATATAAGGGTCCCCACGTCCTCCAGTTCCATATCTCTTCACCTCTTGTAACTTCAGCAACCTGCAACCATTATCGGGGATTTGTTCAGTGCTAAAGAATGAACATAATAAATGATAGGACAATCATAGACTCAGGCCCGGGAAAGAACAGTTCCCCAACAAAAACAAGATGAAACTATGTAAATGTTGCCTTAAACATATTCCCGGTTCAGGATAAGATAACCGCACTCACATGTTCAAGCATGGGTTCTTCTCAACAAATTTAGCATAGAATCATTTCAACACGCTCAATTTTCGGAGTTTCAGCAAGACGTTGATGATAATTTTTCTTTTGAAGTTCCTCTACCAAATTTACCGATAGCCATGCAAATGCTGGTATCCGTGCATCTTAACTATACAGATCCCAATAAAACTAGCATAGTTCCCCCACATTACCCTAATGTGCAGAAAGTCTGTAATAACTCAACCAACATAAAAGAGAACGTTATGAGTTGTACTTACATCCTCAGGGCTTTGCTTGTTGTAGGAGTATCGCCAAGCAAATGACGGATCTCAACCTCAGAAGCACTCCTATAGGACAGAACCCCGAGAATGGCCGTAGACTTTCGGCCCAGATGGCCTGTACCGACTGATCTCCTCCGGTTATCATCACATTTAGTTTGACGGCAAAAGCTTTGGGCACTTGAGGAGCTGGACAAGCAGGAGGCCTCGACAGAGGTTATTCCAGAAACACTCTCAGATGATGAGGGAGGAGATGTGAGCTCGGCTTTGCTGGTCTTTGGTTTCTTGCTGCGTGACATGCAGACAGTCTCTGAACGTTTCTTTCGCACAATCTGGTTACACAAAAGGTGGTGCCATCAGTCATGAAGGAGATGAAGTTGATTACAAGGATTTTAGGCATAAACGTTAGTAAATGGATACTAGAAATTGAAATTCAAGTTCGGAATCATGTAACGGTCTGGAGGTTAAATTTCGATGACTTGATTTTGCAAAATAGTTGTTTCGAGAGTTATTGCAAAGAAGGCCACAAACACACTGTGTCTTCACTTGGACCAAGATATCAGAGCAATCTAGTAATGGGTACTGGGTAGTAATACATACTTTACAACATTATTACATGGAAATGAGAACAACTGCAGGCCGGAAAATGTTGAAGTATAAGAAGAAGAACAACAACCAATCTCATCACTCATCAGCTCAACAAAGTCGACGAAATACACTGAGAAAGGGAAATTATCTGTAATTTGATTATAGAAACAGAGTACTTATGCATGTAGATCAGCTCAGGCTATCAATAATGAGTTAACAGATATTTCAATCTATAGCTTCACTTGCTGTTCATTTGCACTACTGCTGATAGGATCACCATATGTATATCAAAAATAAATATCAATAGTTGAATACTCAATAAATTTACTAGGTATCAAATCCACATACAAGAAAAATGAAGGGACAAGAGATCATCCCTTCACACTCTAATACAATCAACTCACATTACCAAGACCTGATTTCACAAATTAGTCACTGTTAAATCTACTGGAAGAGTGATCAGATTAGCACTTTGAATTTCGAGCAGAGGGAGAAAAAAAACATATAATAACTCCTGAATCCCACTCATCTAAGGCAACAAACAACAATCAAAATCTAAAACTGATCAAATCCACGTGAAAGAAAAATGAAGTTACAACAGATGATTCAATCACTCTATGATACAATCAAGTCACAATACGAAGAACTGATTTCACAATTATTTACTAGACGAGCAATTGAATTAACGCTACAAATTTCAAGCTGAGTTAAAAACAAAACATATAATAACTCCTGAATCTCATTCATCTCAGGCAACAAACACCAATCGAAATATATCTCATAGCAGAGCTTCATGCACAGCTCAATAACGCAATAAACACCAGATTTGGATTCTGAAAACCAATCTTAACGAAATCTCCATAATATTAGAAAGAGAGAGAGAGAGAGAGAGAGAGAGAGAACGAGAGTACTGGATCACCTTGACCTCCAAATCATCGGACTCAGAGACAAAAGTGACCACCGTAAGCAGCTGTGCAGGCGCGGATTCTTCATCAACGCACGCCTCTGCCGCCGCCGATCCGCCGGTCGACTTAACCGTGGAAAATCCAGAGCTGCCGAGGCTTTCCGGACTGCCGCTGCTCTCGCTCTCGCTCCTTCAACTCGGAATAATGAAAGTACAGTAAATTAAACTCCAAATGTAACAGCGATAAAAATCAAAATGAATATTAAACTCAGAGCTCAACATTAAAGGAGGTCTCACTTGGAGAGGAGGAGAAGTGAGGAGACTACTGTGCGCTCGAGGTTTGAAGGAAATGAAGCTTCCACTGTTTTCGCGGCCATAGCTTTTCGAGATTTTTTGAAATATGGCGGGAGTATTTCAGATTTCGATTTTTCACTTTTTTTCGGGAAAACGTTTATGATTAGTTCACGACTTCACGTGTGTAACGTGTGTGGATGTTACCGTTTGATCTACGCATCAGGTCCCGGGAGTTTTTCGGATTAGAGTTAATTTTGGGCTTAGTTATTGGGAGCCCAAGTGAAATTGAAAATTTTACGTGGATTTAACCTTTATTTTATAATTAAGATGAAATAAGTTTAGCTCAGCCCATATAGATTATTTTGGAAAAAAAAAAATATATATATATATATTCGGATTATTAGCAAGAGAAAGAATTAGAAAAAGAAAATGGGTGGAAGAATAAATTATTATTGGAGTTGTGAATGAATTAGTAAAATAATGAAAGTAAATGATTGATAGTTAAAGATACACGAATTGATCAATAATTAATTTTATTGAAAAATGTGAATTAATGATTTTATTTATATTTTTTAATTATAACTGATAAGGCAGATAAGAAAAAGTTGGGATTGTATGAGAAATACATGTAAAAACAAAAATATGTTCATATATAGTGAAAGAAAAACTAATTATCCAGCAAGACTTGATATAATTTTATCCAATTATCTCAATCAATGATTTTAACTCTCATCTTAATTACAGGACTGATGGGTGGATATCAACTTGTTAATTGTCATGACTACCTAATACTCCAATTTATTTATTTTTTTTCTTTTTTTTTTCAAAATATTGAATCATATAGTCTTTTTCGTAAAGCAGAAATTCTATGGAGCCATCGGATGGTTTTCTAATGGAACCATCCACCACTTAATATATTGACACATGTCTAAAGTTTATTTATTGCAGGACACGTGTCAATACATTATTGGTGAATAAGTGTGGATGACTCCATAAACCGAGTCATCCGATGGCTCCATAGCAAAATTGTAAAATAAAGAGGTTTCTTTTCATATAAATGGTACTTGTGAATACAACAATTGTTTATTTTAAACCTGATGTGGTGTGGAAGGAAAATAATGATATAGTGTCAAGTGTGTGTCAAACTTTATGTTCTTACTGTAAGACAAAATAAATCTCTCACAATGTTATCCTTAAACTGACACAACTAGCCAACATTTTCCAGCAAATATATGAGCTGAAAAATCCACAAAATCTTGGCAAAACCAGCTTGTCAAACAATGCTAGTTCTATGAATTCCACTTGTATCTAACATTTCATTTTCGTCCTACCACAAGTAAAACAAATAATCGATTAAAAGCTCTAAAGACGAATATCGGTTCTTGATATAAACGTTCTCAGTCGACTTCCATATCAGAGATTGCTTCATTCAAGATCTTCTCAAGTTCTTTCACTCGTTGTCTCGTCAATGATATGCAGTCCTGCACGCATATCACGAATTTCTCATTAGCAGACGCCACTTTTTACAAAAAAAAGAACTGCATTGAGTTTAGCACAATTTTACTCTTACACAGGCAAAAAGAAGATAGTTAAACAACTATGCCTTAAATTGCAAACAAGAAAAAAATGTTTAAAAATCTCAAAAGTTATTGGTAGAAAAAGAATGACAAAAAGGTTAAAATATCTGGAGTTTTTTTCAGCATATCGTAATTTGTCAGAGGTTAGCTACTCCTTATCATAGTCTCTCGACATATTTTCTTCTTCATTATAGTAGTATTCAATGAAAAAAAAAAGGAAAAAATACAGCCGAAAATTCACCTGGATAGCCGATGTATGTGCCAGACCTGGTCCACCAGGTTTATTAAACGACACGAGCTGAAAAGATGAGTCGATTACCACCGTCAGATATGTCTCCATGATCGACTCTTCTTCAGAGGTGGGGTCCGCCAGAATGTAGTCCTTGTGAAGTACGCATGTTAATGCAAATGGTACAACATTCAACTTGAGCTTTCTCTTGTCTTTATTGACTGGTTCTCTTTGCTTCTTGGCTCCTCCTTTGCCGTCCTCGGGTACAAGAACAATCCGCCCGTCATCATTGAGAGAGACTATCGGGATTTGCACTGCAAGATAATTGAGCTCATTTGTAATGTTAGTTCAATGTTTGCATTTGAAGTGTAGCTTAAACAAGCACTGTAGTTTCAGCTTAAAAACTATTACCTGAAAAGTATTGTTTTCTATAATACACACTCCTCATTTGGATGTTGGATTTGACACCCCACAATTTTTCAACAACTAATTCCAAGTGCAATAGTCTTTTTCGATTCTCTGTCTTTTAAAACAAAACTAGCTTTAACGGGAGTAAGACTTTTAAATTTTAATAACAAAAAGTGAGTGCTTCATGGATTACGACTGCAAAATACATAGCTAAACGAAGTCGACTTAAAACAAATAAGAATAAATCGAGCTCTAATACGTTGAACTTCAAAATCCAAGAATTTTAAACAAGAATTCTGGCGTTATTTGATTGAAGGTCGATTGCAGTGGAAGGTAAAGAAATAGTGCATAGAATTTAAAATAAAACTACCACACGCAACAATATGGGCAAAAGCAGAGAAGAGAACACTTCACAAGCTTACAATGTGAGAAGGCTGCCACTGCAGAAAGCAAAGCTGCATCGAAAAGGGCACCATCAGCATCCAAACAGTATATGTGCTGCAAATCAATTTTTATAATGAGAAAGGTTCCTTAATTTGATTGGTAATGAGGAATTTTAATATCAAGATTATTTACCAAGTATGCCATCCAGGCAGCTTTGCCAGCCACTAAACATAGTTCTTTTAGATTAAGCATGCCAGAACTGTAGAAGGTACAAGAACGTAACTAATTAAGAAAATATATATGTATATACATAAACTGTCGAAGGGTTATACGTATATAATATGATGTGTGAGAGAAAATTATTTATGTTCTAAAAGTGGAGGAATGATATTCCATTCAAAGAAACTACTTAAAGTTACACTCACAATTAGAAGAAATGACCACTTTGCTATAGATTATGACCACTTTGCTTTGCTGTGTATAATAAACAACTGCAAATCATTATCTATAGCAAAACTATTTTCAATTGGACGAACAAAATGTAACGGTAATAAAAAAGCCACATTTCCACAAGAAGTTCATGTGAGAAAGTGCTGCAAGACCTTAAATAGATTCTAATTCCGATCTTTCATTTATTCACTTGATTTCCAAATAAGGCACCTACACTTCAAGCTAAAGGGATATGGGAAAATAATGGTTACAGTCTGAATAAAAAAAACTGGCCATGCTAGAAAGTTTTCATGATTTCTGATCCCATATCGACAGCAATGTTATAAAGGTTTGCCACTGCTTGCAGTCACACCACAATAATATAAAAAATCCTTCAACACCCAAAAAAGTTTAGTTCCTTGCCTCAAAATGGTGTCGGATAATTGTTTGGCTAACACTGGAGCTATCTCTGCTGGTCTTCCGGGGCGAACAAGTGGAGAACAAATAGGGGGCATGTGGAAATCAATGGCTGGAAAACAATTATCAAACGACAAAGTTAGAAGAAAAGAAAAATAGAAAATAGAAAACGTGATAAGCTATTAGAGACAAATTCTAACCTACAGAGCCCTCATCAGGTGCCTCAACAGTTGGAGTCATGACTTCCATTTTAATGGCAGCCAACATGGTCTTGACAAGAAAACAGACGACTCAAATAAAACAACAATCCAAAAATAAATAAATAGCAATAACACTAAAAATAAAAACACACTTACGGTGCAACCTATCTTTGCTAGTGCTGATCCATTAGCAGATGCAACAGCTCCTACAATTTCGAAAGTAAGGTTTTGAGCAAGAACGTGACTTTTTTTATAAAACACAACCAAAAAAGGATCATGATAAAAGGATATGAATGACATATTGACTAACCAAGCACAAGTGTCGTGTCTCTAGCTCTACCAAGTGGCCGGCCATCGGGCCTAATCGACTCGAGAAGGTGACGCTCGTGAAAACGTAAAGGAAAAAGACGTCTAAAAGCATCGACCTCCATTTCTGATGACAAATCGTTCATTCCACCCATAGTAGCCATCTTATTGCAATATCCTTTTTCCTCCTGGATGAAAAAATTGAAATGATTTTCCACATCTAAGCAGCACATAGACGAATCAAAAGGCATAGCTCTACTAATCAAATATGAAATGTCCATCGACTTTCGACACTCACCCAAAATATATTTCAAACTTATTTTAGTGGGAATTCTTTAAAAATGCGACTTCCTTACACATACTAATTAATGCTACAAAATTACAAATAGCAAACAAAAAACAAGAACTTAGATTTCGGCCTAACAGAACCCACCTTAAGAAGATCAATAAATCGTTTCATAAGCGTCTCGTTGACACCCATAAATGCAAACCAAACAAGAAGAAATTAGACTGGTATTCATAGTCTAGCTAATAATATTAACTATTAAGACATCCCAAAATTCAGCTGGCACAAGGGCTTCTAAATTAATATGCTGGCAATGGCAATGCCAAGAAAACTCAATAAATACGTAGAAAGAATGAAACAAATGACAGGGCCAAGGCCCAAGCAAAATCACAATATGCTGCCAAAAAAAAAAAAAATAGTCGAATTCGATTTTTATAATTCTCTAGGTACAGCAAACTCTACCTTGACTGGTTAAGTTTGAGGTTGGATAGAGCACGGTGTAGGATGATAGAGGACGGCGGCGGGTAGTGGCGGAGGACGGCGGAAGCTACGGCGCGTATAGGTGCACGAAAATGTTTGAGAGGGGGCTGGCACTGGGCGCTTTTTGTGTGTGTAGCAGCAGATTATTCGCTACCCCGACCCGTCTCAATAATGAAACGGGTCCGAACCCGCCCCAGTGTATGGGGCTGAAATTGCTCTGTCCAATGCTTTGGGTGGGTTGTAAGCTGGCCTAATTGATATGCTAAGGAAACACTATATTGGGCTACTGAGGCTGAGTTAAGGCCAACTGGAAATGCAAGCCCACATTTTTTAATACCCTCCTATCTCTAATTATTAACTAGTAATTATGTGGGTGATTGGTTAAAAATTTAAACATAAATTTATGGAAAAAAAATAAAAAATAGAGAGAATATTTATTTTAAATGCAAGCCCACATTTTTTAATACCCTCCTATCTCTAATTATTAACTAGTAATTATGTGGGTGATTGGTTAAAAATTTAAACATAAATTTATGGAAAAAAATAAAAAATAGAGAGAATATTTAACTTAAAATACTTTCTTAAATAGTTGAATTATTATTTACATTTAGGCTGTGTTTGGTAGACAAATAAGCTACCTTATAAGCTCCCTATTTTTAAATAAGCTCTGTTTGGTAGGACGAACTTTTTCAAAAAGCTCGAGCTTATTAAGCTTCTTTGAATATCTTTTCAAATAAGCTAGCTAAAATTTTTATTTCAGCTAGTTTATTAGTTAATTTTACCAAACACTTTTATCATATAAGCTACATTTTCAGCTATAAGTCATAAGCTATAACTATAAGCTCAAAAATTACTGATAAGTTATAAGCTAGCTTATCAACTAGTTTTACCAAACCTTAGAATGACACTCTTCATTTCTACGACTTATTCATTATATATTATAATAATTTTTTTAAATAATGTAATACAACTATTTTTTGCTAATAAAATATAATATAACTATTTTAACTAATATAATATAATAATGCATATAAAATTTATTTAAGTGGTAATAAATTTACCATTTTTTAATAATATTAGCGATAAGTTGATGTATGTTATAAAGATGAATATAACTATTTTACATTATATATACACTATAGATGTCCAATCAAAATTCGTAAAAATAAATATTAATTTGAGATATAAATGAATAACTTCTAAAATATATTTATAATTTACGTTGGTTAAGTGTATTAAAATTGGCAAAGTGTTGTGCACGCTTAGATACAATTTTTTTTTTTCAAAAAATTCAATTATTTAAAATCAATCACTTTCTTAACTCAAATTTAACTCAACTTTAACTATCCTTAATATTATCAATATAATTAAATAATATTACTCAATCATTTTAAGAATTACATCAGATTTAATTTGCTATTTATCCACTCACATAATTTTAACCAACTACCACTTCAAATTATCTCTCTCCTGATTATACATCAAATCAACTTTAATTAATTTGTTTTAATATAAACTCAAAATCTTACTAATAACTAACTATATTATTTTTTTCAAAAGTAAATGTACTAAACAAAAAAATCCAAACAAAATCAAAGCATCTTATATCCAAGCATAGCCTAATAGGCGTGTATATAATTCCAAATCTAATCAGTTTATCTCGAAGCACAAGAAACTCTGCATTTATGTACAAGGAGAGCTAAATAACGTAGATTGTTAAATAATATGATATGAATGAAATCAAATTTGATGAAAAATAGGTAAAAAATAATTAAATACTGCATAGAGCATATTGATAAAGCTATTTATGCACTCAAACAGTCGAATCCAGACAAGTCAAACTTGATTATTAATGTTAACAAGTCGAAGTCAAGCGATGACGAGTCACACTATAAGAAATAAAAAAATAAAAAAAATCATGAACTTACGAGATAGAAGATGATGACCATTATGCAGAATGTGCTATATTGACGAGGTCTCTGGTTTTACTGTCTTAGACTCCATCAATAATTACTTGTTACTCTACGGAGACAAATGAAGTATTATGATACCTTATCTATTCGTTGCGTTATTTTATGGCCTTAATAACAGAGCCTGAGTTGGCTCGTTAACTCTACCTTTAACAGGAACCAACTGTTGGCTCTGTCCCACATGGCTTCGGACAGCCTCACATGGAGCTGTCTCATTGACTGTTGGTTCGTAACGGAGCCAACAGTTGCTACTTAGCATTACTACTTATTTTTCTTAACCTTTATAGTAATAATAAATAATCTAGATATATATAAAGAGGTTGTTGGAAAAATACATTAATAGAAAGTTTGACCAAATAAATATAATGTTTGACTTACTATTAATGGAAAGTTAAAAAAAACACATGTGAATCTGTAATAACAAAATCTAAATCTTATTTTTTTGGTAACAAATTTAGAGATTCTTATGGCAAAATTTGAATCCCATTTTTTTCGTATCATATTTTAATTTTTTACCAAAATTTAAATCACATCTTTTTTTGTAACAAATTTGGAGATTCTTATGCAAAAAATGTGTCAATTATTTATGAAAACAATTCTAAATACAAATTAATTTAAAAACCGTGCAAATTGGATACAAATTTAGAAAGCAAATAATTGTATAATTCTTAACCAATTCTTCCAATCTTATTGAATAATTTTTTCTTTCAAAAAAAGTGTGTAAATTGGATAAAGCCACGTGCAATTTTTATTTTAAAATAAAACTGATATTTAGACAGGATGTACATTCAAAATTGTGTCCATATTTTTTTGTAACAAAATCGGTTCATCATTGATATTTAAAGTCCCTTTATCCAATTATTTAGAAAAAATTGTGTGCAACTTTTTAAAATTTAAATGTAGCGATTTTTTTGGATTCTTATGTTTTTTCTTAAATATGTTTTACCGAGATTTTGGTAAGTTCATATCAATTTTTTTTTATTGGTTAAGTTCATATCATTTTCTTTAGGAAAGAGACAGTTGCATAAACATTAACAATTTATTTTAATTTTTTATTATAATTATTTTCAATTCAATTTGCTTGGTACAAAAATCGGTGCAATGTTAGGAAAATACGGTTGCATTTTTAGGAAAATTTGATGATTTTTTTATTTGGTTCAAAAAAAATCAGATCAATTTGTTTGATAAAAAAATCGGTTTATTGGTAAAAAAATCGGTTTCATTTCCAGGAGTAACTAATGATTGTTTTCAATTTTTCTTAATTGAAATTTAAAATTAGATTTAAAATAAATAATGGGTGAAAATCCCTAAAAAATTCTATTTTTTTTTTCTATTTTAATTTTGTTTAATAAATAAAATCTTGTAATTTTTTTTTAAAATTTGTTAACTAATAACTAATAATATGTAATTTTAGATAAATTCGAACACATATGTAGTACTTTACGTGCCAAAAAATCAAATCAATAATGTTGTTTATAAGGAAGTGTTTAATAACATATAAATTTCATGAAATTTTTAATGGCATGAGACAATTTAAATACATAAATATTTTTTAAAAAATAAATAAGTAATAAATACTCCCGTGCATCGCACGAGTAACGTACTAGTAATAATAATAATAATAGTAATAATAAAAGGACAAGAAATAAAAAAAAAAAAAAATTGAAAAGAAAAGCCGAGAAGGAGAGCACCATTCTATATCGTTTTGTCCGAAACCAATGGTTAGCACTGCTGCTACTACTCCACACCTAAAGATAACGAACGCCGCCGCATTCGGGTCCCGACGGGTTGCTGGATCCGGGTCAAGAGTCTGGCCCAGGATTCACTCGCCCTCCATGGCGAGCTCCGCTTTTGCTCTATCCAGCGCCTTTCTTCCTGCCCGCGACAACCTCGTTTTCCTCGGAGGCGGCTCGGCCCGCCGGCGAGCCGTCCGGTTCGACCCACGTGCTGTTTCAAATGGGCTCGGTCTCCGGAGGCTGCCCACCTCGGATTTTTGCGTGGCGGCGGCGGCGGGAGCTACCTCGTCAGACCAGCCAAGCTCTTCAGGTTTTTGGTTCGCACATTTTTATGTTTGGGGGCAAACAGAGAGAATTTTGTTGATTATTCAGCTAGAAATTTACTTGGGTTTCTAATATCTTACATAATATTTTGATTTTATTTGTTTTTGCATAAGTTTGGTTTTATGGCGATATTATTGAAATGGGAGGATAAAGCTGTGGGAACTGGTAATGAAAATAAACAAATTATTCTTGTAAAAAAGAAGCGAGTGCACTGGAAATGCTGAAAAAATCGAACCTTTATGCTTGTTTTGGGATTTATGCTGCTTAGGGAGCTGGAGCTTGGATAATTTTGTATGTTGATGTAGTTGTTATAGGTTTGTCGTTTATATGGTTTAATAATTAGGCTATAAAGTGTCGAAAGATCGAATGACATTAATCTTGGGTAATGTAGTTGAAAAATCAAAGAAGCTGCAAGATATGATTTTGAACTGGAAATGGCTGTGAATGGTATGCCTTTGATAGACGTTTTAGTGATGGTGTTAATCTGAATAAGGTTGAAAATTGAGTGCAATAAAAATCATTACTATATTTCAATTGTATCTTATTGGTGGCACAATAACCGCGCACAATTCATCTACTATTCTACTTGTAATTTGCATCTCTCAGTTTCTGTTTATATATATTTGCAATCACTTATGTCCTTTAAGTCTATTACATATGCTGTTGGTGTATCTAAACATAAACAGTAGTTATCTGTGGGTATGATGTTTATTCCAAATTTTTATTGCCAGCATCTGTCTATATTATTATTTTTTCTTTCGTTTTTATGGAATCATTTGTCATAGCGTTTTTCCTTTTACTTATTCTTCAGTATGCCCAATATACCAATTAATTTCTTTCCATTTGTTGCAGCTCAAGGGATCGAGAATGTGGTGATTATAGGATCGGGTCCAGCTGGATATACAGCAGCAATTTATGCTGCTCGAGCCAATTTGAAGCCAGTGGTCTTTGAGGGATATCAAGCTGGTGGCGTTCCAGGAGGACAATTGATGACGACAACAGAAGTCGAGAACTTTCCTGGTTTCCCAGATGGTATAACGGGTCCAGATTTAATGGACAGGTGTTTTTTTTACCTTTTAGGAATTTCTTTTTTTTTTTCTTTTTTTTTTTCCCGACTGGCTGTATTTAACTATCTATTTCCCTATAAGTTGATTTATGATTGAAATGTGCTAATGTCGACTGAATTCATAATCTGCTAGAATGCGACGACAAGCCGAGCGTTGGGGTGCGGAGTTATATCAAGAAGATGTGGAATTTATTGATGTGAAAAACAGACCTTTTACCGTGCAGAGTAGTGAACGCAAGGTGATAGTACTTACATGCAATTCTTCGGCATCTATTTCTTTTATTGTGATTTAGATGAAAGTTACACCACAATAATTTTGATCAAGATTTGAGCATTGTTTAATGATCAAACATGCAATCTTTTATGGGTGCACAGTGCACTCAGTTGTAATCTTCATACGTCCAAATGTCGTTTTGTGTGACCTAAATAATACTTGCTCCTCCATTGATTTATGTTTAGAAATAACTTCTTATATTTTCAGGTGAAATGCCACAGCATTATTTATGCCACGGGTGCCACCGCAAAGAGGCTGAAATTGCCTCGAGAAGATGAGTTTTGGAGTAGAGGAATAAGCGCTTGTGCAATATGTGATGGGGCTTCTCCACTGTTTAAAGGCCAAGTTCTTGCTGTTGTTGGAGGAGGTGATACTGCCACAGAGGAAGCTTTGTATTTGACGAAATACGCTAGACATGTCCACTTACTTGTTCGTAAGGACCAATTAAGGGCATCAAAAGCAATGCAAGATAGGTAAGATATACATACCTCCAATTCTCCAACTTCCAACACTATCTACCTATGAGTTACTTTTTCTTCGGATGTTATCTCTAGAAATTTTCATTAGGCAAAATAATTTTCACTGATGTTCATTTCTATTTCAAAAATTCTACCCTTCAAGGGTGCACTTGTTATGTAATCCCTCGTGATAATAGTAAGCCTTTCTTTACTTAATTCAAGCTAAAAGCCAAGTGTTTTTTCTTTTCCGAAATTGTCCCTTCTCTTTCCCGGCTTTGCTTAACTTAACTATCTTTTCGGGTCAGTTAAACCGACTATTGAGTATTGAAACAAAGGTTTATTTCTTAAAAGGTTTTTTTTTTTTTTTNTACTTTCTTAATGGAACTTTTTTGACTTTAAGGTGATGATGGTCGTACTGTCAATTGGATTACCCTTAACCTTCGTACTCATCTTAATGGCATGTTTGCTGCTGGCTATGTGCAGGTATAATTTATTTGTCGTAATTATATATATACTTTCCAAAATTTAATTGAGTTTTCTTACTAAAGTTTCTTGTTTGTATCAAACTTTGCGATTTTTTTTAGTAGGACCATGAATGGAGACAAGCTGTAACTGCAGCTGGATCGGGATGCATTGCGGCTCTATCAGTCGAGAGATACCTTACGAGCGAAAATCTACTGATTGAATTTCACCAGGCATGTTATTATTTATTTATCCGTTCGAGATTTGAGAAATGCTCTCTATATAATCATCGAGAAGCTCATCCTCGCACTTTTTAATAGGTTCCAGTTGTTCAGACTTCAGAATGTGACTCGTGCGCATTTCATATTATTATGGAATATAAAGATTAGTTTGATAATATCCTAAGGATCGGGGGACCTTATCATTTCTTTTTTCCTTTTGAATAAAACCAAAGAAGCTTCCTGTACTTTTGAGTTGGTCTTTTGATTCACTAGCACTGCTTAATCAATTCCGAAACAAAAGAGCTTAAATAGTTTGTCATTTCCTTTTTATTTATTTATATTTTTATGTTTTATTTTTGTTTCTTTTTACTGTTGAACACAATGCAGCCAGCAACCGAAGAGGTTAAGAAAGAACTTACCGACCGAGACGTACAAGAAGGTTTCGATATCACGCTCACCAAGCACAGGGGCCAGGTATGAAGAAAACCAGCATCAACAAGTTCTAAATTATACAAATCCTCCTCTGGGTTTTAACTAATAACAAAAGGACCTCCTTAATCTTTAAAAAATTTACAAATGCCCCTTTGAGATTTGTATTATTTTACAAGGCTCATACGATATGTGTTTCGTAGAATTGAAGTACACGTCAAACGGAATTTCGTACTTCTGAGAAAAGATTGCATTTTCCTTTTTTGTAATAAGGCTAAACACCATGCTTCATTCTGTGATTCCCCCCCCTTTTTTTTTTTTTTTTTTTTNCTTTTTTTTTTTTTTTTTTTTTAATTTTAATTATTATTTTCCGTTTGCAGTACGCGCTTCGAAAGTTGTATCATGAGAGCTCGAGACTTATTTGTGTGCTATATACAGCACCAACATGCGGTCCTTGTAGAACCTTGAAACCAATACTTAGCAAGGTTTAAATATTGACCATTGAGTGTTTGAGCTTGAGACTTGTTCGAGAAATGTTGGTTTGACCAAAATTGACTCGTCTTGCAGGTCATAGATGAATTCGACCAGAATGTCCACTTTATCGAGATCGATATTGAGGAGGATCCTGAGATTGCCGAGGCTGCTGGAATCATGGGTACACCTTGCGTCCAGTTCTTCAAGAACAAAGAAATGCTCAGGTTGGTTAAATTTCAAGATTTTTTATTTATTTATTTATTTTTAAATCAAGCAAATCGAGCCAAATGGGTTTTTGCAATAATCACAATTACCCCCAAACAAGAATGAAAAATCGGTCCAATTTTTCCTGAAAATTACCGATGTAACGTGAACTTGCAGGACTGTTTCGGGTGTCAAAATGAAGAAAGAGTACCGAGAGTTCATTGAAGCAAATAAATGATTTTTCGAGGCCACACTTAATCTCTCTTTCTTTATGTGCTTTCTTTTCCCTGGGATTCAATTTTCATACTTAAATTTGGTCAAAGTTTATTATGTGTGAGATGTATTCTTTGATAGGCCCTTGTCAGATTGTATATTCAAAATAGTATTAAACAAAGCTTGTGTTTTGCTGGGAGGCCTTCAGCAAGTGAGTTCCCAGTGTACTGAACATTCCATTTTTGGGTGCCTCAAATATTGTAAACTAATAAACTTTTATACAGTCCACAATAATATAGCTACCATGGTACCAGCAATATGCTTTGTTTTTTGGTATGTATGTCAATCAAATAAATTATTTCTGAAAAATATTGTCTAATGATGGAGATATTTAAAGTTATCATTTTTTAGAGAACTCGTCCAATTTTGTAACAATCTAGTCAGTTGATGCAATTTGTTAACATAAAAGAAAATATTAAAAGTGTGTGAGGTCTGCGTACAACTGACTTCTAAACCTCAATATGTTGGGAATATACTGGGTATGTTGTTGTTGTTGTAAAAGTGTGTGAGGATGATCGTATTTTCAGATGACTTTTTTATTTCAACTTTTCTTTCTCTTTTCTTGAGAATAATATTGGAAATTAGAAACAGTGTTGAATAAGATTGCATAACATGTATTTGGCCTCATATGGGATCTTCCTCAACAAATTTCACATTAATCATCTTCACCCTAATATAATATGGGAAAAAAACTAAAGGAGATATAAGAGTTCAACGGTTAAACAGGACGAGCTGTTTGTAAGCTTGACCTGTTAAAGCTTGAGAATATGTGTTTTACGTAATTTTCAAATTTATTTTCATTGAACTTCTTGTCTCAAAAAAAGTTTTTCTATCTTACCTCACACCAAGCTCCTTTCTCAGCCCATAGACAATGAAGGATTGATGCTCGAATTCAACTCATTAATATTGATAAACGAGCTCGAGCTCGTTAGTTAATGAGCTGAACACTCAAGCTAGATTCAAGTACCACGAGTTTGAACTCGGCTGGCCTCGTTTACCCCTCTACCAATTAACACGTGGACTCGACCTATTGACATACATAGCACCAGATGGATTTGGGCTGTGTGGTTCTTCACTGTTTATTTTGTTTGGACTATTTGGTTTATCTGCAATAGCGCAGATAGTAAATTGGGTCTTCGGCTAACTCTATATAAGCCCATACTGGTTGCATTTTAACAGCCCGGCCCATATTTATAAAGCATATAATGGGCCACCTTCTTAAAAATCTAAACCTAACTGA